CGATATCCGTGATTTATCTGCCGAGATATTGCAAATGGCGGGATTCGAAAATTTCAATTTTGCATCTCGCGAGTAAATAAATTAATTATCGCTATTTATAACGCGTAATTTTGTGCGACCGGCTTCCGAAACGTACTTTTATCGGGATGTCCGCGTTTCTAAGAAATTCTTTTTAGATTATTTGTAATTATTACAGGTGCATTAACGTGATCGAATTACGCTCGCTCTGTTTTTCGCATTGTTCAACCATCGAAAGTGATTTTCGCGTGTAAACGAGTGTCCGAAATGCCGATCTGACTGACGACTTATAGTTTTGACGCATCGATTGATCCGTAAGCGCGATTAACGCGTCTTTCGATATATTTAGAAGCAACGACGAAATTATTTGCCGCCATATATAATAATAATCTCGCGCCACGTTACCATGGTAACGCGCGAGTAACGCGCGGGAAATACAGTGACTGAAGTACGTCGCGTTTTACATTTCGTGTTTAAACTCATACGTTATTGTGAAAACTGATCGAAGTCTCAGAAGCGTCGCTCGATCTCCGTTCTTGTCTTTGTTTATATCATAAATGTTTATTGTACCCGGCTTTATTTGTGTAAGAGACGCGCTCTCGTCGCGATGTACATTCCTTCCCCCACTCTGCCTACCTATCTCTGCCCAAAATTTTTATAATATTCCGTAATCTTTTCAGTCATAGTCGTGCGCAGGTCATGGTTGTGTCTTGTCTCTCGCGTCTTTCTATCCGCAAAGTGAATTTCGCGTGTGAATAGAGAGAGAGAGAGAGAGAGAGAGAGAGAGAGAGAGAGAGAGAGAGAGAGAGAGAGAGAGAGAGAGAGAGAGAGAGAGAGAGAGAGAGAGAGAGAGAGAGAGAGAGAGAGAGAGAGAGAGAGAGAGAGAGAGAGAGAGAGAGAGAGAGAGAGAGAGAGAGAGAGAGAGAGAGAGAGAGAGAGAGAGAGAGAGAGAGAGAGAGAGAGAGAGAGAGAGAGAGAGAGAGAGAGAGAGAGAGAGAGAGAGAGAGAGAGAGAGAGAGAGAGAGAGAGAGAGAGAGAGAGAGAGAGAGAGAGAGAGAGAGAGAGAGAGAGAGAGAGAGAGAGAGAGAGAGAGAGAGAGAGAGAGAGAGAGAGAGAGAGAGAGAGAGAGAGAGAGAGAGAGAGAGAGAGAGAGAGAGAGAGAGAGAGAGAGAGAGAGAGAGAGAGAGAGAGAGAGAGAGAGAGAGAGAGAGAGAGAGAGAGAGAGAGAGAGAGAGAGAGAGAGAGAGAGAGAGAGAGAGAGAGAGAGAGAGAGAGAGAGAGAGAGAGAGAGAGAGAGAGAGAGAGAGAGAGAGAGAGAGAGAGAGAGAGAGAGAGAGAGAGAGAGAGAGAGAGAGAGAGAGAGAGAGAGAGAGAGAGAGAGAGAGAGAGAGAGAGAGAGAGAGAGAGAGAGAGAGAGAGAGAGAGAGAGAGAGAGAGAGAGAGAGAGAGAGAGAGAGAGAGAGAGAGAGAGAGAGAGAGAGAGAGAGAGAGAGAGAGAGAGAGAGAGAGAGAGAGAGAGAGAGAGAGAGAGAGAGAGAGAGAGAGAGAGAGAGAGAGAGAGAGAGAGAGAGAGAGAGAGAGAGAGAGAGAGAGAGAGAGAGAGAGAGAGAGAGAGAGAGAGAGAGAGAGAGAGAGAGAGAGAGAGAGAGAGAGAGAGAGAGAGAGAGAGACAGACAGACAGACAGACAGACAGAGAGAAAGAAAAAAAGAGAGAGAGAGAGAGAGAGAAAGAGAGAAAGCATGCTAGTTTACAACGCCGGAATAATTTTTGCCGCCATATATAATAATAATCTCGCGCCACGTTACCATGGTAACGCGCGGGAAACTCGGTAAATAAAATACGTCGCGTTTCACGCCCCCCACCCCCCCCGCGTTCCGTGTTTTAATTCGTTGTACTCTCGCGTTGTGTTCAGAAATGGTGTTTATTCAATTATCGTTTATCGTAAAAATTGATCGAGATTACAGAAATATTGCTCGAGTCTCGCTTTCTTGTCTTTACGAAGAATTATTGCGCCGTCTTTTTTTGGAAGAGTCGCGCTTGCATCGCGACGCGGTTTCTCTCCTCGCGCCACCTACCCTAAGCCCTCCCTAAATATTTCGAAATAACTGTTACAGTCGCATTAGAGTACGAGTTCGCGGCGGAGTCGCGTTCGCTCCGTGTTTCTCGCGTCCTTTTACTCGTCGAAAGTGAATTCCGCGAGTGAACGAATATCGGGAGTGCCGAATCGAATAACGGGCGATTATTTCGGTGCATTTATTAGTTCGCGCAACCGCGACATGTGTCTTTCGTTATTCGTAAGCGATATCCGTGATTTATCTGCCGAGATATTGCAAATGGCGGGATTCGAAAATTTCAATTTTGCATCTCGCGAGTAAATAAATTAATTATCGCTATTTATAACGCGTAATTTTGTGCGACCGGCTTCCGAAACGTACTTTTATCGGGATGTCCGCGTTTCTAAGAAATTCTTTTTAGATTATTTGTAATTATTACAGGTGCATTAACGTGATCGAATTACGCTCGCTCTGTTTTTCGCATTGTTCAACCATCGAAAGTGATTTTCGCGTGTAAACGAGTGTCCGAAATGCCGATCTGACTGACGACTTATAGTTTTGACGCATCGATTGATCCGTAAGCGCGATTAACGCGTCTTTCGATATATTTAGAAGCAACGACGAAATTATTTGCCGCCATATATAATAATAATCTCGCGCCACGTTACCATGGTAACGCGCGGGAAATACAGTGATTGAAGTACGTCGCGTTTTACGTTTCGTGTTTAAATTTATGGTATTCTCGCTGCGTCTAGAAGTGATTTTTATTAAATGATCGTTCACATACGTTATTGTGAAAACTGATCGAGATCTTAGAAGCGTCGCCCGATCTCCGTTCTTGTCTGTGTTTATATCATAAATGTTTATTGTACCCGGCTTTATTTGTGTAAGAGACGCGCTCTCGTCGCGATGTACATTCCTTCCCCCACTCTGCCTACCTATCTCTGCCCAAAATTTTTATAATATTCCGTAATCTTTTCAGTCATAGTCGTGCGCAGGTCATGGTTGTGTCTTGTCTCTCGCGTCTTTCTATCCGCAAAGTGAATTTCGCGTGTGAATAAGTATCGGGAGTGTCGAATTAAACAACGGGCGATTATTTCGGTGCATTTAATTGTCCGCGCAACCGCGACATGTGTCTTTCGATATTCGTAAGCGATATCCGTGATTTATCTGCCGAGACATTGCAAATGGCGGGATTCGAAAGTTTCAATTTTGCGGCTCGCGAGTAAATAAATTAATTATCGCTATTTATAACGCGTAATTTTTTGCAACCGGCTTTCGAAACGTACATTTATCGGGATGTCTGTGTTTCTAAGAAATTCTTTTTAGATTATTTGTAATTATTACAGGTGCATTAACGTGATCGAATTACGCTCGCTCTGTTTTTCGCATTGTTCAACCATCGAAAGTGATTTTCGCGTGTGAACGAGTGTTCGAAATGCCGATCCGAGTAACGGCTTATAGTTTTGACGCATCGATTGATCCGTAAGCGCGATTAACGCGTCTTTCGATATATTTAGAAGCAACGACGAAATTATTTGCCGCCATATATAATAATAATCTCGCGCCACGTTACCATGGTAACGCGCGAGTAACGCGCGGGAAATACAGTGACTGAAGTACGTCGCGTTTTACATTTCGTGTTTAAACTCATACGTTATTGTGAAAACTGATCGAAGTCTCAGAAGCGTCGCTCGATCTCCGTTCTTGTCTTTGTTTATATCATAAATGTTTATTGTACCCGGCTTTATTTATGTAAGAGACGCGCTCTCGTCGCGACGAATATTCCTTCCCTCACTCTGCCTACCTATCTCTGCTCAAAATTTTTATAAATATTCCGTAACCTTTTCAGTCATAGTCGTGCGCAGGTTATGGTTGAGTTTTGTCTCTCGCGTCTTTCTATCCGCAAAGTGAATTTCGCGTGTGAATAAATGTCGGGAGTGCCGAATTAAATAACGGGCGAATCTCAGTACCTCTATTAATTCGCACGATTTGTTTAAAGTTTAATTTCATCGTACTCTTGCTGTGTTTAAGAATGATTTTTATTGAATGATCGTGTGTTACCAAATGGGTATATAACCAAACATGCCGTGTAAGTGACTGAAATCAAGGAGCAAAACGGAGTGAAACAGTGACCAGAGAGAACAAGAAGTGAGATATGCAGTGACGACGCATCGACTGGGGTGAGTCAATGATTCATTTTACTTACATGGTTGTTGATTTATTGGCTACGATTTCAAATATTCGATAAATATCATTGCGGCTTAGTCTTTCATGTGATACTTTTGATATTGCAAGATTTTTATTATTTTATACATTATTATTAAAATTATTATTTCGTATTTTTTTTTATTTTTTCTTTTTTATTCTCAAAGTATACGTTTTTCATATATATACGCGATTACATATATAAATAATAGATTTTGATTATTTTTATTTTATAATTAATTAAAGACAAAGGCTTTTTTCATATAAAAATGCATAGTTAAAAAATATGAACTTGGAGATTTATTATTATTATCTCTGATCATGATTGCCAGTCTTCACGTAATTGTCTGATAAATATTAAAATAATAGTCAAAACAGCGAGAATTGTGAATTACTGTAATTATTAATGCATCAATAATTAAATATTGTTATTGAATTTCGTCATTAAAAATTCCTAGATAATCAACAAACTTGTACATCAACATATTCTCCAATTTTTTTTGAAATCCGAAATTCGCACGCTCTTTATGCGCTTCAAAAAAAAATTTTTGAGTTTGCATGCTACTACTGATTCATAAGCTAACTCGTTGATACATAATTAGTCCAATAAAATACGTAATATATAACATGTTTATCGCGGGACCGATATATAAGAGCGAAGTTGTCATACCCACCTGTTGATGCTTAAGAAAGATAAGAAATAAAGAGATTGCGCGAGAGAGATATAAAATATTTTTAATTGTAAGAATAACATCGAAACGATCGAATATACAGACAGACAGACATAGATGAACAGAGAGGCCGTGAGTAGTCGCGGTCCTGGAATATGCATCCGCGAGTAGTACGACAATAACGTAGTACCGACGTATATACCGGGTGACACGCGCGTCGGTAACTCGTTCACGACTCGGACGGATTCTCGCTCGTGTTCACGCTTATACCGACTGACGCGGTAACATCGAGGAACTTCTTTCGTAGAACGACATCACAGCATCCGGGAAAGCTTTCAAGGAGGAAAAAGCTTTGACTTACCGACCGCTTGCGAAAGCTTTGCGCTGTGCAATGCACTTACCTACAAAAGAAAGAAAAAGACACGCATTAGAGACAGGTTTTTTTTTAGTATACTATCGATATATACCGTCGATTACGATATATAATTTAAAGGCGATTAAAATTATCAGTGCTTTTCAAACGTATTCGGTTCAGAATAATGTTTGCTAAATTTGCAGCATCGCTTTTGCATTTTTTTGCATGTATGATACTTTTTCCACGCTTTTGTATAAATAAAATAAATAATAATAATATGAATAAATAGAAGAAAAATAAAGGGAATAAATAAACAAATTTAAATACAGAACAAAAATATATAATATAACGTGTATTTGGAAAATAATGTTTGATTGTTTTAAATATTTTAATTGTTTTAATTATGCATTAATATCTAGGCAACGAAGTTTTAAAGGATGCACAGTTTGAAAAACAACGCTCGAAAGAAAAAATAATTCAAAGTAATAATCCAAATAGAGAGATAATCGGTAAGCGATGCCGTAAACAAGGCCGTGCATATTATTTGAGCTTCGAAAATGTGTGTGTGTGTGTGTGTATTCTAAGAATAACTATTAAAAACAATTATTAATAAAGACCAAGGAAAAAATATTTTTAACTAAATTATAGTAACTACTCAATGATTTGATATTATTTATTGATTACATAGAACTCATTTAATTATAGAAATAGAATAGGATTGCATCCTTTATAATAAAAAAAATATTAAAATATTTTTGAAAGAGAAAGAACAAGTTTTTAATTTTAGATGTAAATAAGAATGTGTTAGATTTTGTATATATTAAAATATAAAAAGTATCATACAGAGCACGGTTCTGTATGTAAATGATGGAACATGCTAAAATATTTTTAATTATACGAATACTACTTTTACGAATATTTTTTTTTTTTTTTTAGTTTCATGCATCCTAAAATATCGTTCATGCGCGATTACTACAAACTACAGAGGCTAGATATAAGATATCACATACGAATTTAATCAAAAGTTACAGAATAGAGAAATACTTCCAACTTTACAATTTTCTCTAAATCAGTTATAACACACAGTTCAGTGTTTCTCAATTTTTATTATAATTAAAAAGAGAGTCAATGTGTATTTGCAATTTTTTTTATGACATCTTACGATGTAAAGAAAAGCTTGAAAAAAAATGTGCCTTTATACTGCGGAAGTTGAGTAACACTGATCCATAACTTCAAAGGTCGACCCTGGCACTACCTACTTTTTTCTAAATAATTTACTTAGCGCGATTAAGGCGATTACACTACATATAGGCTGTTCCGCGTGCACCCGAGGTCTTTTATTTATATCGCCGCATTTAACATAGGCGGGTATACATTAGGTTAATAAGATGCATTACGGCGATCTATATCGAGTTTTCGTCATGACAAATGAGACAAATAAAAATACGAAATGTCCTAGACTCACAGCTTTTTACAGATGTGATATAACGAACGTATATAAGCGGATTAATCGAGTCTCATTAAATTCGGTGAACGATTACGCTAACGAGATAATTCTCTGAACAATCGAACAGAGTTTAGTTGCTCGATAACGAAGGGATTTTACGGAGGCTATGATCTAGTATACGCTAATAAGAGCAGCGAATAACGGCTTTCTAAGGCTTAAGATCTAATCTAGCGTAGCCTAAGCTATACTGTAACAAACGACCCAAGCTTTTTCTTAACTTTAAAGATACCTGCACGACCGTCGGTCCGCGATGCGCCTGTACAATAGAAAACAAATACGTTACATACGGTTGAATAAATATAAGAGAAACGAAGTATCGCTGAATCATCTACAAAACAATTTCGAGTATCATGCGATCAATCAAATATAACGCGATCGGTATATTTTAGATTATTATTATATTATTTAATTACACATTTATTAGCCTTATATTAATATTCATTATAATATAATTTCTAATGTAATTTCTTTAAATAGAGAGACGCGCGCGCGCTACATTTTGGTTACATTTTCGGACAGTGAATTTTATTTTATGTAATATATGTGTAATATATGACATTTATTGTTCTAACAAACTGAAAATCGTACGATTAAGACATGATAATCATACTTTTATGACAAGATGCACGCGATTGCAAAATGTTGGCTATTAGCATCTGATAGCAAGTCGCAAATGCGAGCCATTTACTATATAGCGTCCGTTGTAGGCCTAGCAACAGGTGGGCTGTTATCCTTTAGGCCAGTCCACACTTTAGGCCAGAAACACTTTCTCTCTGTATGTGAAAGGAAGGCATTCAAAACTACTGCAATTGTCAATAATAAAGAATGAGAGAGTAATTCCTCAGATGGAAACTTTCTCGTCGCTTGTAACATAGTCACAAGACAAATCGTAGCCAATAATTCAACTTTCACAAAAAAAAAAA